TAAAAACTTTAGACATTAATAAGCACTTAATTACATACAATACATGTATTAATGCTTAAAATGTCTTTTCAAAATTTATTTAATATATTCAGACAACCAAAAATGAATTATTTTTTTCAGTTTTAAGTTTCTGACCATTTTGTACGCGAATGGAAAATAAAACATGAATAAAACTAACGGCCCTCATACGGAAATCCATTACACCGACAAACAACTCCAGTTACAGAGAAGAACAGTAAGGCGATGTTAGAGCCGCCATTTTTTTTAAATCTATTAAGGTGTGATAGATTAAAAAATGTACCCATAAGTGTCCATTCGGAATATAAAATTGGCATAATTGCTTTTTTGAGCTTTAATAAGTTATTTATTGTTTAAACATTTTTCACACAGAAGTAGCATTAAAACAAGAAAATGGCGTTTTTTTAGTGGTAAATATTTCTTCTTGATACTTTTTAATTAGTCCTACTTAAGGGGAAACTTTTTTCAATTTTATTATATAATTAAAGGGAATCAGGGCAACCCAACTTAGCCCAACCTTTAGGAGGTACATAACCTTAAAAGGACGAAGGAAATTGTGCACCTTTTGAAGGTTAGGTTGACGTTATTTCAAAATTAACAAATATTATAAATTTAATCTCTCTAATTGTATAATTAAATTCAAATAGTATTTTGCACCTCGATGAGTCAATCAAAAAGAAAAATTTTATAATAAAACGCTTTTTTTTTGTTTTAGTACCATTTTTGTAAATGTTTAAACAATTAATAACATACTAAAGTTAAAAGATGCATTCGGACTAAATATATATTCGGAAAAGGCATTTGAAGGGCATTTTTTTTAATTGATTACACCTTAATTAAAAGGTCGATATATATAAAAAAAAATCGCGGCGCTGACTTCTTCTTACTGAGAAAAACCGTTTCAATACCAACGACATACATGTAATAATAATAATTATTAATTATAAATAAATTAAACTAAAAACCACTGCACTGCAGCATACTCGAAAATAAAAAGTAAGAAACCGTTTACGACTTAAACGACGACAACAAAGTCCGAAAGATATGTCATCGTGCGTCCTTTCTCACCCTCTCCCATTTTTACCCTAGCATTCTATTTATCTTTCTCTCTCTCCCTAACGCTCTCTTTTGTTTTGTCGGTTATACGACAACAACTGTGAACATTTATTACAAAAATCCTGCAGCACAGTCGAAAACAATATCGAAGTGCGTACAGTTTCTACTTTGTTATATTATTATTATAATTTATAATAATCATCATTATTAATATTATCATTATTATTAGCACTTAAGTTTATTTTTTTTAAAGATTACCACAGACTAAATACCACAGATAGGTTCATATTCTTGACACCACTACCATCGTCGATGGTCCACCATTTATCCGAGGGAAAAATCTTATTCGATTTTTCTCCCTGTTCCCTTTTTTTTCCTCCTCCGACAATAATAATATTAATTGCACAATATACGACAATAATNGATGGAGTCGACGAAGTTTTCTTCTAAAGTTAAATCAAATAAAAAGTTAATATGTTCAGTGAAAAGCTGCAATAGCACTTCAGACTTAGATCTTCACTCTTCACCTACATTAACTACATTCCCTTCAATAACGCGGTGCAAATCAACGTTCTGATAACATGGTCTCCATATGGGATAGAAGTTGGAGCAGCATATTCTTGACACCACTACCATCGTCGATGGTCCACCATTTATCCGAGGGAAAAATCTTATTCGATTTTTCTCCCTGTTCCCTTTTTTTTCCTCCTCCGACAATAATAATATTAATTGCACAATATACGACAATAATTAGATAATAATTATTTTTCGTATGTACTTATGAATGTATAAATCGTTATAAATGTTATCATTATGTACGAGTCTAACCGGTTGGATATTGAATTGATGGGACGTTGGTTTTTGCGCACGTTTTTTATTACCATCAACACAATTGTACCTGTAGCACTCGTTGTTTTTGTTTTTGTTTGGTCTTCGTGTCGTTTGGATTTAAAAGTTTTTTTTTTTAATATCATATTTCTTTGTTCGGAAAAGTTTTTTTTTTTTTTTTTTCGTTTTGCCAAGTACGATAAGCCGATAATTTTTTTTTTATTTGAGCAGATTTTGAGTCGCACCATAGATGTCAAGAAGGTCCCTCGATCGTTTTGGTGGCCAGTGATGACGGTAAGGCCCCAGGATGTGAAAAACGGTTCCGGACTCGGGAAAAATCCGTCACCTCGGTTCGCTTCCGGTCCCACATCGTTATGACGAGTAGGATCTTCTTTTTTCCGAGTCCTCCCATCCGTTTTCTTTTATCATATGAGCTAATTCGATGATAAATTTACCTTCTTTGTACTTTTGGCTGGATTCGAACGCGTGCTCCTATAAATAAAAATAAACTATGCATATCATAGGAGACGAAAAATTAGAAGAAGTGACTGATTTTCGTTATCTAGGAAGTCAGATAAGTCAGGACGGAAGGAGTAGTAGGGATATAAAGTAGAGAATAGCGCAGGGTACAGTTGCCTTTAATAAAAAGAAGTCACTTTTATGTTCGTGAACGGTTAATTTAGAAATTCGAAAAAGGTTGATAAAGGTGTATGTTTGGAGCGCGGCGTTATACGGGTGCGAAACATGGACCGTGAGCGCGACGGAAAAGAAAAGGTTAGAAGCCTTCGAAATGTGGTGTTACATGCGAACGATGAGGATACCGTGGATAGAGAAGGTTAGAAATGAACAGGTATTAGAATGAATAGGAGAACAGGAGATAGGACACCTTCTCAAGTATGAAGGTCTAGTCAGAGACATATTAGAGGGAGAAACGGCAGTTAGGAGGAGTAGAGGTAAACCAAGATTAGATTACTGTTCGCAAAATGTTAAAGATGTGGGTTGCTTTAGTTTTAGGGAAATGCGAAAATTAGCTCAGGATAGGAAAAGGTGGAAGTGCGTGTCCAACCAGTCTTAGGACTGACGACTTTATGATAATGCATATCATAAGTCGAACGTTTTATGTAGTACAAATCAAAATAAAAAAAACATGATTATTAGTAACTTCCGTAGAATTAGTTTTTTCTCTTTCTTTTCTTAATAGTTAACTAACACATCGTAGTAATAAGACGGTATCCTTGCAAGACGGAGTTAACATTGCAAGTGTCTTATAACACAAGTAGTAATAAGCAAGTGTCTTATAACACAACGTTGTGACAACACGGTGAAAAATTGCAATAACTTGCTAATATTACGGTTAATACTCTGATAACACGGTACTAAAATTTTAACAGCTCTTCTATAACGCGGTGCAAATCAACGTTCTGATAACATGGTTCCCATATGGGATAGAAGTTGGAGCAGTTTTTACATGTTAACACAGCGTCGCATTAACGCGGTATCCTTGCAAGACGGAGTTAACATTGCAAGTGTCTTATAACACAACGTTGTGACAACACGGTGAAAAATTGCAATAACTTGCTAATATTACGGTTAATACTCTGATAACACGGTACTAAAATTTTAACA